ATACAGAGCTAAAAATTAGTTGTAATTCTGTTAAAGTATGGAACTTAAAATTGAGAGGATGGGTTCATCCAGGTAGAGACCAGCAACCCTGGCCACTAAAACAGCCAGCCTGTGAGTAGACAAGAACTGATTCATTGCACAAGTTTTCTTGCAAATAAACAAGGTCTCCTTCAGTTAAAACAGAAGTTCATCTCCATTTTTCTGATAACTTTAGCTGTTCATAGATCCTTGAGCAATGTTTTTAAAGTAGCTGCAAAAACACTGGAGGCTTCTAGGGTCCATTTTCTATAGGCAACTAAACTGGGGGTGACAGAATAAGATGCCCCAAAAAGGTCTTGATGAGCTCACCATTTCCTTCCTTCACACTTCTGGATTTTCAGCTTGATGAGAGCTTTGTACTGACAACATAGAACCTTGAGGAGTGGGCAAACATTTACTTTCAGTAATGGCAGTACAGAATCCTTAGTCAATAAATTATCTTAATTAGTCTGACTATTTATAATAAAAATGTACGAAGGAGAAGGCAAACTACAGTGCAGAAAATTGTCATATTCAAATGAGTGAAATTAATTCAGTAATATGTAAAGAGAGTTTTTGAACTGGTCTGTAGAACCTTCAGGCATTGTTCAAATGTCTGAACTAATTTTAGATGATGTACAAAATCAGCTGTATGAATACATATAGTGTCCTACACAGGGTAGGTCTGTGTGATTTTTCTTTTTCCCCCACTTGAATACTGCATCATGAATAGGCTAGTGCTGTGTCAAACACTGTGCAGTAATCTGCTATGTTAGTCTTTAAAGGGATCTTTAATTACCTTGGGAAGTGGCTTTCTTTCATTACAAGAAATTACAAGAATTCTGGGTGAATGAGATGAGGTAGCTTATTTACATATTCTGAGGCTAGTCATATGATTTTTATTGAGCCAATTATACCAAAGATTGCCAAGTGTACAGTCAGTTTGTATAGCACTGCACTTACCAAAAATGTATCTATCAATGAAAATAAATTTGTAGCTGTGGTAGTAATTTTCTGAGTGGTAGGCTTTTTCCTAAATTTATCTTAGAAAAGATTAAACAATTATTATTTGAGCTTTCAAGTACCAGTGATTTATTTCATTTCACACTGACAAAACTGTGTCTGAGTTTTTGTATTATAAATAGTGGTAGATATGGTAACACAGGCTTTAATTCTGAGAATGTACAGGCCTTAGGTACATGGTGTCCCACTGGTATCCCAAGTTTCTGTTATAACTTCTGAAGAACTATACTTCTTAATTTGAATACAGAAAGCAGTTTTTAAAATATTAATTATATTACTGATGTAAATACTGACTAGACAACTAATGTGGTGGGACTGCTGCTCATTATATCAAACTCAATCATTTCATTGCTGCCTTGTCCTCCTCCTCATTTGTTTCATCTCCATCTGCTCACTCTCTCATATTACTTGCACTGCATCATATGAGGTACCCAAGCTTACTGGGGCAAAATCTTGTCTTCTATGAAAAATATGGTCCAGGTCTACACATTACTGCAATATAAATACAAAAGTAATGCTTATGCTGCTACTAATTTTACCATTTTTCTCCCTGTTTGAGTCTTGGAAAGTATAATTCCTATTTTGGAGCTAGTTTATCTATGTGTCAGTGAAAGTTAAGAGTAGAATTGATGACATCTCACTACAACTCCTTAAAAGAAGGGTGCTAGTCTAAGCTAGTCATCAGAGCTTGTGTCATTTCTCTTACAAGTGGTATCATAAGAGGCTGGTATTTTTTTGGATGTACTGAATGACATTTTCAGAAGATGAATCATCCTGCCCTAATGTAGTAGAGCTTAGTCACCTGATGGAGTTGTCTCTGTAAACTGCATACTAAGACCATAGGAAAAACTTTAATTTGGTGCCTAGCTTGTTTGAATCATACTGCAAGTATTCTAGGTGAGGCCCCATTTCTGATGCTGCGCTGATGCTGCTCCAGCTGCTAGGAAATTATTTTTATCTTGCATTATCATGATCCTACAAGCATAAATTTGAACAGTAAATGTCCTGGGTTTTAGGACTCACATCACAGCATATCATTAAACAATTCACTTTATCAATTAAAATGTCCTTTTAGTTGTCTCTTAAAAATATCTGTAGAGATTGTAGTTCATTCTGTCTTTTCCCTACTGCTGTGCCATCAACACAGATGCAATATTCCTTTCAGAAAGGGCTGGGTTAGTGTAGCAGTGTGGAGATGTAACAGTGAAACAGTCATGGGGCTTCAAGCAGCTGACACTCTGATAAAGCATGAAAGAGGTTAACAGGAAAGATAAAAATGGTGGGATGATTTGATATCAATTCTTATTTTCCTTCCTATTGAGAAGGCTTTGTTATGTTGGCTCTGTTTCTTTACTGCCATTTGCCAGAGCAATGTTTTATAACTAGAAAATACAATAAGAAGTGGTGATGTAAGCATATGAAAGGTTAGTGAATTTGGTTTGGAATTGGAAATACCTCTTTGTAATAAGGTCATGATTTCAAAATATTGCAAACTAGTGCATCTAAGGTTTCTCTTTGTCTGCCCTGCTCTACATTGTGTCTCCTGAGCTGAAAATTTACTTAAAATTAGGTAGCAAATGAAAAGAACAAGATAAACCTATGAGGACCACCAGGGGAACTCTTGCTCTGAGGTCAGTGGCACGTTCCCAAGGAAGTTAATTTCAAAACAAGTCTGTCAGTTATCTGAGTTTCAGCTGACAATTTAATGTATGAATAACCTTCTGGAACAAAAAAATTTGGATTCTGGGCTTTTCTCTGCCATTCTTCTGTCATGCATATCACTGTGGTTGCAGAATACATTTAGCTGGTTGCACTAGTCACTGGGGATTGTGTTCTTATGCTTCTATATGTTTGATTTAATATATGTTTGCATATTCAACTGTGCAGGCAATAAACATCATGTTCATTATAATAAAAAGCTATCTCTGCTTTTACTTGATCAGCTAACTGCGGTACATTGGTATATCTATAAAGAGAAGTTGATTTGTGATAGCAAAATGCAGGACTATTTTATCAGCTGGTTTCTGGAAAAAGATTGATTTTCCTCCATGCAAATATTTGAAAGATATATGCCACCAGCATTTCTATGGGGCATGCACTCAAACAGAACTGAAGAGCTGAGTCTTGTGCTCATTGCAGTCCAGCTATTGACTTTTTTCTTTGGATCAGGCCACACACCTTAACAATGAGGGTATCTGTATGCAATTTCTGGGATTACGATTTTTATGTGTATGGTAATGTATATTAGACTGTGCTAAAGAAATGGGAAAAATAGAATTTGTGCTAGGCAGAATTCACCACAAGATGTCTCATGTCTCACTACAGATTTTTCACAAAGGTAGGGAGCTATCCAGCTAAGTCTGGTGAGTGCAGTGCGAATTACATGATTTAGATTCTTCTGGAGAGTGTGTTAAAAGCACATAAAAATAGACTGGATGTGGAATCCAGACATGACGAGTGTGTTCTTCAAAGGCTGATTAAAAATAAATGCACGGAGACTAACATCACTGAATATTGAAAAAACTCTCAAGAAAGGGAGGAAAATGACCAGTTAAAGCCAAAGTACAGCACTAGAAGAATGATTACTCATTATAAAACAGGGTGATCTAATCTCATTTGTTATTTCATACCACCTCTACTATGTAAGATAAGTGGACTCTGTGGCTGTAAGTGTCCATTACGAGTATTTTCCACCCTTGTAACATTTGGGGTGGGGTGTGTACCTTTAAGTAACTGTTTTATCTGTTGGCTCTGGGGATCCAGACTAGAGCCCACACATGCGTGAATCTGTACAAGCCTTGGGCACAGTTGTCTATTCTTATGTGTATTGCTGTATATGTATTTTAAAATAGAACTCTTTTGTGTTCCTATGTGTATGACTTCTCTCAGCACTGGTGCAGACTCTCCTCTTACTCCAGGGTGTTACTTGACTGAGGATAGATTCAAGGCCAGCTACCAATTTTCTTTCTAGCTGTTAAATAAAAGCTTTAAGTGTTAATTGTTTTCATAGCTATCTATATACAAAAGACTATGTACTTCAATTCCCAGTTTTGGAAGTATTGGGGGTCGGGGTGGGTAGTTGTGGGACTGTAGGGAACTTCTACTGTGGCCAGAAATGAGCGAGAGCACAAGCTGATTGTATAAGTCAAAAGTATTTCATATATCTGATCACCCAAACAAGCAGATATGCTCAGGATAAATGCTATGTATTTACAAGTTTTTAAATATAAATAAATACACTAAACTTTTTGGGTTGGGGGTATGTAAAGGAATCTAATTTTAAACTCTATGATGGACTCTTTTGTTAGCGCGCAACTACACTGTATCTCCAAAACTGCTGCCATAAAAGTCCATGGCAAACCATAGAGCAAAAATGAAGAATTATTTTCTTGTAAAATCACAGAATCACACAGGAATACATGGAGGTGTTTAAGGAAAGACTGGATATGGGAGTTAGTGCCATGGTCTAGTTGACGTGCTGTCAGACCATAGGTTGGATTCAATGATCTCAGAGGTCCTTTCCAACCTAACTGATGCTGTGCTTCTGTGATTCCATGTTGAGATCCTTCCCACCCCGGCCAATAGTGGCGATCAGCGTGCCTGCCCGGGCCCGTCCGAACTGTGGCTGTTGGCAGTGTCGGGGCCGCTTCCCGCCGGCTCCGTGAGCGGACGGGACGGGACGGGACGGGACGCACCTGCGGGATCTGCCGGCCCTGTGCACGCCCGTCGTACAGGTGTGTGTGCCGGTGCACAGAGGGACCCGCGGTGGCCCCCGCCCCGCAGAAGGCGGCGGAGAAAAAGCGGAGGGTTCCTTTACTAATCACGGCCGCGGAGCTGTGCCGTGGGAGCCGTCCGGGGGTCGAGCAACTCCCTCCACAGCCCGGTCCGGCGCGGCCGCTGCTCCCGGGGCGGGGCGGGGCGGGGCCGGGCGCGGTGCCGCCACTGGCTCCCAGCCCCGCCGGGCTGACCGCGCTCCCGGGCGCCGCTGAGCCGCCCCGCCCGCGGTGGATGCCGCCGGGGAGCGGGCGGAGCGCGCCGCCGGGGAGAGGGGCTGCCGCGGCCGCCGGAGCCCACGTACATGCGAGTGCCCTCTCCGCTCACCAGCATGCTTTACTTCCAGATGGTGATCATGGCAGGGACCGTGATGTTGGCTTATTACTTCGAGTACACGGACACCTTCACCGTCAACGTGCAAGGCTTCTTCTGCTACGAGGGCGCGTACCGAAAGCCCTACCCGGGCCCGGAGGACCGCAGCGCCGTGCCGCCGGTGCTCCTCTACTCGCTGACCGCAGGCGTGCCCGTGCTGGTGGTAAGCAGGGGCCGCCCGTGCCCGCACTCCGGTGACTTGTTGGGCTGAGCCGGGCCGGGCCGGGGCGGGCCGTGGGTCCCGGCCGGAGCAGTGCCGCCGGCGGGCGGGGACCCTCCGCGCTCCCGGGACTGCGACCCGGCCCCGGGGCCCCGGCGGGCAGCGCTGCCGCCCCCGGCCCCTGCCTCACCGTGCCCACCGCGCCTCTCAAGTTTATTTTTAGCACCGGTTTATGTAACTGCCACTGCCTGTATTTCCAGCCCCGTGCGACTCCTTTTGGTAAAAAATTATCTTTTCTTGTTCGAAACGCGCGTCGCTTGCAGATAGATGGGCAACCTGAGGAAAACCTGGCCTTTAGAGCCCCTTACTGATGTGTCATCCGGTACTAATTAGAAAATCCCTCTGTCAGTTTTGTTTTCTAAAAGTCAGCTGGTACGTGCAAGAAGCAGGGAGCAGTTTTACTTGATTTAGTTGTCTCCGTATGTTACAGTTACTGATGTGTGGGCAAACGAAACCTGTGTCTCTAATTGAACATGATCTTCCGTCAATCAGTTTTAAACAGGTGTGGCTAAAAAGTGGTTTATTTAATCGATTTTCTATCGGGATCTTTTTTTGCGAAACGGCTAAGGGAAAGCTTTTTGGAAAAGCAGTGAGATTCCTTTCAAGCTGTTGAAGGTACTCTGTGTTGTCAGATAACGAGGGCATTAGCGTCATTCAGTGATCCCTCACCATACTGAGGAGGAAAGACCTAGAGGGGAGCATTTGACTGTTGCGGATGGATTATATCTAGACTTACCAGGTGCATGCACAGCTAGACATACAGAAAGCCCTTGTAAAGATTTCATTTTTATCAACTGTAAGCATTAGAATTATAAAAGAATGCAATAAGAGGCCTTTTAACATAGCTTTTTTTTTTTTTTTTTAATCACAATAATTCTTTTTCAGGAAAATATAACAAAATAGGAGTCAAAAAAGCCTCATCAGAGTAAGGCTGTGGTAATCCCAGATACAATTTCTGCTTTTGTAGCATCATGAAATCTCAGATGGTATCAAATATAAAACCTTATGGTCAGGATCAGCCTTAGTGTTGAGACTTGGTTCTCTTTTTAATTTTTTTTTGTCCCGAGGGATTCAGTCGCTTCATTTGGCAAAACCTGTTGTGTAGCATTTTGGCTTTGTTGGGTTCTTTTGATGTGAACATCAGTTATTTGACCACTTTTTTGTTCTTTTGAACCCCTAATACTGTTGAGATTCAAAAAGGGAATTTTGTTGTGTTTTTTTCTGCTGATGTTGGTTTTTTTCTCTGATGTTGGTGTGTGGTGTTTGTTTTGCTTTTAATTCTATTTCTTTTGTTTGCCTCAGGAAGTTATAAAGATTATGTCATATATTCATGTCGAGCATCTCTTTTTCCTGTTATGTGTCAGCAAGATGGATTGGTAGTTTCCATTCATTTCCTGGGTGCTAGATGATTACGTCAGAGCAATCTCCGTGACATTTTGGGTTGGCAGTCTTGTAATTAGCCTTGCTAAAAAGCTAATAATAGAATTTAATGATACTTAACTGTGTTTCATCTTCCAGTCACCAGTCTTTTGGGCAGATGACATGCTTTGGGATGTCAGGGCATGGAAAACCACATTGTAGATGACTGTGTTTCACTTTTTTAAAAAGTATTTTTATTTCATTTTATTAAAAAAAATTAGCTCCTGGGAATCTCATTAATTCAACAGCATTAAGTCTAATAGTTAATTTTATTAAATGGGTGGATTTTTCAGGTTTTGCGTAGAGTTGTGTTCTGATTTGCCTTGAGCAATCCTCTTGGACTTAGTGTTTACCCAGGATGGCACTTACTCAGTTGTGTAGAACATGTACATTGCCTTTGCTTGTTCTTTTCATTGAAAGGAGTGGTGAAAGTAAGATTTCTTCACCAAAACAACTTGTATGTTTTCAGTTGTAGTAGGTTTCAGAGATTAGGTTCTCTTCCATTTCATTTATTTCTTGTCTATGACATTTTGGACTTATGTGTTCTGTGTAATTTTGTTTCTATAGATGAAATACAAGAAGGAATCATGTAACATAGCTCTATTTTGGTCTCTAAAGACTGCATGCAAATGTAGGCTAGTGAAGGAAATAGATCTCTGTGAATGCAAATTCACGGGTTTTTTCCCACAATGAGTATTGTCCTTGAACATAGGATATTAAATAATATAATTTATGAGGGTTTTTTTTAAAAATCCTTTTTTTTTTCCTTCCTTGTTTGATGTATGGGATTAATGCTCTTTCTGGGGTTGTGAGGTAGAGCAACAGAATCTTTACCTTGGTGTTAAGAGCAACTGAGGTTTTCTTGAGTGATTGGACTTAATTGGAGCCTTAGAGTGCTTCTCTTAATGTGACTCAATTAATGGCTCCATTGGATTGAGTTTGAGTGAAGTTGCTCAAAAATCATAAAAAAAATCAGTTTTTTCTAATGATTTTCCTTTCTACATGCCTGCTAGTAGAAAACTAAAAAAGTAAAGTACCAGTAGCAGGACCTGTCTTGATGAGCATTTCATCAACAGTGGTTCTCTGGCTGCTGTGAGGCTGCCACATGGCTGCTCATCCAGAACCCCTGTACCACATCAGAGATGCTGCAGCAGCCCTGAGTGTCAGGCCACGGGGTTGAGCTGAGTGTCTGCTCACAGGGCAGCCACAGGCATGCGCTGAGACCTAAATAACAACCTGTGTCATCTGACAGGGATGTACTGTGAGTGCTGTGTTCATCCTGGAAATTTTCTGGTTAGTCTTTGAAATGCTGCCTCCTGCTCGTACATTCCTACAGCCCTGGTGCAGCATTGCTGCCAGGCTTCCATTCCTGAGCCAATCTGCTTCCTCAGCCCATCTGCCCCCATGCCATCCAGGGACAGATGCAGCTGGCTGGCAAGGCACAGGTGCTCAGGAGTGTGATCTGAGAAGTACAGTCCCAGGGCAGAAGCAGAGATTGCTTGCTCTACTGGAATGCTTGACTTTTTGATGGGGTTTTGGCTTTTTTGTTTGGTTTCATTTTTTTTGTATGTGGGGATTTTTTTGTTTACTTGCTTTGTTTTGTTGGGTTTTGCTGGTTTTTGTTTGTTTGGTTTGATTTTGGTTTTTTTGTTGTTGAGGATTTTCTTTGGGTTTTATTTTTTTTGTTTTTGTGGTGGCTTTTTAAAAATTTCTATCTTTGAGTCAAGTGCTCTGATATGGAAAAGGGAAACTGACTGAAGGAAAGAAGTTTTGTGCTCTGTACTTGGGACTTACTGGGTTTGTGTATCTGTAGTCTTTGGTCAAGTAATTACCATGTATTTACCAAATATTTGGTCAGCCATGACTTGGTGGGCAGCTGGACTAGATGATTATTGTAGGTCTCTCCTAGCTGAACTATTCTCTTCTAAATATCTGATAGGTTGTGTAGGATCTAGTAAGGAGTCAAATTGTGCTATTCATGTTTGCTGTAACAAATTTATTGTCTGCTAATATGTGTCTGCTTAAAGCCCCTGCAGCTTCGGAGTTGCCTGGAGAAGCTGTGGCAGCTGGCATGTTCCAGGCCAGGCTGGATGGGCTTTGAGCAGCCTGACCCATGGAAGGTGTCCCTGCCCATGGTGGATGGGCTGGAACTAGATGAGCTTTAAGATCCCCTCCAACCCAAACCATTCTGTGATTCACAGGTATTGCAGCAACTGTAGGAAACTTGTAGGGGAATCCAACAACCTTGCTCTAGGATGAGAAGAAATGCTGCTTTTTTTTTTTTTTTTCCAAGCTGGTTTCCTAGCTTTTATGTAGGTTCCATGAAATGAAGATACGTTATTATAATGTTGGTTTTCTCTGGGTTATCTCTAGAGGGTGTAGGCACTGTTTCTTATCTCCCAAATCAATTTTGAGTTCTTCCACTGGAGAGTTTTGAGGGTTCAAACAGTTGCTTTTCTTTAGTCTGTTTTTAAAAAAGTGCTGAAAACAACTGCAGCTTAACATATAATAAAATATATTGTTCCTTCCAGTGTTAGACTTTTATTTGTTGAAGGTCTCCTAGGTCATACTTTTAGGCACAGGTAATGACTTGAATGAGTTGATGTGTTTGCATAAGGAGCATTACGCACACAAGCAGTAAAATCTTTTTAAAATGTGGATGAGGTGGAAATTGCAATCAGAAGAGTGGAAAAGCCCTAATTATGATAGTCTGTGAGGGAAGACTGAGACTTGGGCAGAGGCAGTGCCCCTGTGGGCTCCCTTTTTTGCCTTTGTGACTCAGATTTGGAGGAGTACTACTGGCTCTGTGCTCCTATCTTTCTAGTGTCCATCGCACCCTGAAATCTCTGGTACACTGAGGAATTCTCAACACATGCTTTATTTTTTTTCTTTTTTGGTTTTTTATCTTAAAGTCCAATGTGAAGGTGACAGGAAATAGGTTCTTGATTTGACTCTATTCAAATATGTAATAAGCATAGAACTGCTAGTTGAGGGCTCAGTGCTATTTAAGCCTTTTCCCAATGTGCCAGTTCTTGCTCAGTATGCTGGTTGCTTTTTAAAACTTGTTATGACAGATGTAGCTTGGGAAATACACGTCAGTCTAATCCTTTCGTTTCCAGTAGAGATGTTTTCTAGAACGGTGAGGCTAGTGTCTCATGTTTTCAGAATCTATAGAGTGATCAGTTCTGCATTGTTTCTTTCTGGTAGATGTTAATAATTTTGACCTCTTTAAAATGCTGTGAAGTGCACTCAAGGATTCTTTTAGTGATTCCACATACTGATATGGATTATTTAAAATGTCCAAACTTTTTAAACAATAAGTGGTATAAAATGTGATGCATTAGACCGAAGATGTATGCTAACTGCCGTATAAAAGCCAGGAGGAGATAATGACACATTTTCATTAACATATGTAAACAGTTCAATTATGCAAATGGTGTTTGCTTTTATTTCCAAGTGACAGATATATGATTACACTACTTATCCATAAAATATACACTTCTATTTGCTTAGGCAAATTCCTA